GATATCAACAATAATTAATAACTTGGCATAGTTGTGTCAAAAAAATGAAATACCCTAACACTAAAGCCTGTGTCATACTCCACTGCAACATCATAGGGTGCCAGTGGCGCTCTGTGGCTTAGTGAGAAAAGCATGCCCAAAAACTATGTCAGATATAAGTACTAATTTAAGGTCAATATTACAATGTGTGCAAGTGCACAAAGCATTTTGGGCATCTTAAAAAACATCATGTGCATCTGGGATTCAATGATAGCTCTGTCAGTGACAGTGGTCTTTTTGAAGCACGGCAAGCAGACAAGGTTACCGACGTAATCACAACACTATACATCCACTTGCAGCTGATTAGGTGGGAACATTGCATTTGTTAGGAGTGTATGCTGGTCCCAGGGCTCTGACCCTTCAGACACATGCAGTTGGAAAGCTTTAGAGAAGTATGCTGAGGCCTTATCCCTGTGTAAAAAACTGTCTTTTTATGTTTTGGTTAAGGCCGCATAATTCTGTATTTAAGTACAGAAGATAATAGCACATTTTCAACAGTCATTTATAACTATACTTAATCATTTCAGCTATACTCTACACAGTACTTGTTATTTTAACCGTGATATTTGTATATTGAAGATGTGTACTGTATATCTCCTTTAGTATGCATCTCTTAATTCATTTCATGTTCATGTTTTTCCTGCCTTTGCAACATGGAAACATTTAGTGTGCCTTTTTTATCAACTGTGCATGTTGTAGATGTAAATTGGAGCAGACATGGAGAGAACATGCAAACTCCACATGGAATGACCTCAATCTGCATCTGTGTCTTTGAGCTGCGTACACCACCTACGCCTCATAAACAGCAGCCCATGAATGTTTGATTGTGGCTCCTATTTTCATCTTTCACCACTGATGCAGACTGATTTGTCCTTTTTGATCTTGTGCTGTTGTTGATTAAAGTGTTTAGCTGATCATTCTTTTCTTTGTGTCGTCACACTGAGGCCTTATACAATGCTGTGTAATTGCTTCTGACGCTTGACTTGCTTACTCTCTAATTAATGAGTGCTTTCCCTTATGTTTTAGAATTGCAAATGGATTGGTGAGGCTCGAAGCGGTTGTTTGGGCTGACTGCAAGACTTGGACTCACGCACAATTGGCCCAGGGCTAATTATTCTGGCTATGCTAAAACTTCTGCTTGTGTTTGCATCACTTTGCATTGTCTATTTCAAGCGTTTCTTTATTTAGCTAAATTATTTTTCAATCAATTATGTCTGCAGTATTCGTTATTTCTTTTGTCAGTTTTCTAATGATAGCCGACCTGAAAGTCTACTCATTTAAGATGCAAACATGTTTTCATATGGTTTGATATAATTTCAAACTTCAAACTAGTTCCCAAAATATAAACCAGGACTATAGTTGTACAAACCTTACATGATACTTTATGTGTACATGTAAAATACTTCCTCTCCACATACATTATTCAGGGCCGTGCTACACACTGCACATTCCCTATAGTCATGCTTAGGGATTCTCTGCACAACAGTGTTGTTCTATGTGCGTGCACAATGTTTGGTTTGTGCATTGATTTCTTTTGACAGTGTGAAAAGCTTCTTTAGGCTGGTGAGTGGGTGTATTGCTCCAGAGTTAAAACTGTCTCTCTTATTTCCTCGTTAACTAGATGATCACAATGTTGTCATTAAATATGGCAGAATATTCAGGAATAGCATTACTGCTGCTGCATGGATTTATTGTCACACAACACAGTAAGAAAAGTGACAGATAGTTATAGCATCAAACGTCTGCTTCAGGGGTTTTTAAACACTCTTGTGTCAATCATCAAATGTTACGCTATTGTATTTAATGTTTTATATTATTCATGATTTATATGAAAGTATCCCTGAATAATGTAATGTTTTTGTCTCACCCTACGTGGGTTATTCCTCTCTCTGCTCAAAATTCTTTCAAATGTACATCCCATAACAAAACTTGTTCAAGATTTTAACAAGGGGAATCCAAATTTCCAATAGTTTTCAGAGATATCTGTTTTTGTAAATTAACTCTTCATATAATGAATATCATGTCAATTTGTTGTCTCTCGGTTTCAATCTTGCATGTAGCTGTGTACTGCTGTCAATATATGCACCAGGGTGCCCCCTATAGGATATTAATGTGTCCTCGAGATGGAAATTAGTGTCCTTGGCAGGGAACGATCCGAGCAAAACCAAACTTTTCTCTGGTATGTGGTTTTATGCGCAGATTTTCTGAGAGTCTTCCAAAATAACATTCTGGTATATAAACTACCTAAATACATACAATACTCAGGGCGGCTGACGTTAACATGTGCAGCACATTCTCCCCTGGGTTAATATTAAAGACATGGTGATCTTCAGTGCCATGTTTGTCTTGCTCAGGCAGCGTACACTGACCACTGTGTATATGTCGATATGTGACTGACAGGTAAAGGCTGGTGCATAATAAACAGCTGAAAGCATCAGACCTGTCTAGACTCAGAGGCTGCACTTCAGCTTGATTGTTGTCCACTCAAATTCAACCTGATGGCCTTTTTGATATGCACCGTCTCGAGGTTTACCAAGTGCTAGACAAATTGTTAACCAAATAAAAGACATGGAAGTATACAGCAGCGTCTCAATCCTTTCATTCAATAACAAAGCAGCAGTAATACCCAGAGTTTCATAACCCTGGGTATTAAAGAACGCATGCATGGAGCTTTTATTGAGCCTTTTTTCCTGTACCTTCCAATGTAAGATGTAAGAGTTTTACCTTGATTTATACTGTGGTATAATTCAAATAATACATGCAAATATGAGCTTAGCCCAGAATCAATAGTTTATTCATTGGTTTCATTATTATTTACAGTCATTTGTATTGCTTTCATTGCAGTTGACGAGCAATTAAAGTGATAGTCTGGAACTCTTTAAGAATTGTATTAAATTGACCTCCTTGCCTTAAATATTGATATGAAATAGGTAATTTTATGAATTCTAATATTACGGGTAAGTCCCTCCTTCCCTGCTCTTAGCTATAGCTAGAAATCCACGATGCCGTCCACGTTAACCAATCAAGTGATGCCAAGGGCTGTCAATCATCGGCGCTGATGCTCGTAGCTGCGCGCATGCTCAGTTGTTTGTTTAAGTTCAAAATTCTTTAAGTTACTTATGTATATACTGAACCTACATCCATAATCAGATCCTCTGCAGATGTGTCCTGTAATGTTCAATCAACGTTAATAGCTACTTCCGGGTTTACTGCGATCGCTTTTTTTGTGCATTAAAACATTATTTTTGTCATGAAAACATTAACAAATAATTCTGAAAACCTCCGTGCATGTGTATGAATAATATATAAGTATAATGTGTTCTCAGATTAACATTTAAATGTGTTACGGAAACGTAGGCATAGACCAATCAGAAAGGAAGGGGGAGGGAGCTTTGATCGTTTTTTTCAAATCCTGTACCTCTCTCTTTTATTGACAAACTCCAGACAATCACTTTAACATATTTCCTGTCTGCACGGGCAATGTTTAATTTTGTCAACAAGAAAATACTAAAACAAAAAACAAAAACAAAAACTCTATTGCAATCTAATCAGAAATGTCCTAATGATCTACATGTTTTCAACCAATGCAACACTTTTATTATTTTTTGCAGCACTCTCATTCTTCTGCATTTGATGACTGAGCACTCTTTTTGTGCTTGTCTTACACGCACACACACACACACACACTTGCGCGCAGCTCGCCCTGTGTACCCCTCAGCCTCAGCATCAAATCCACACTGGGAGAGAGGAGAGTCAGCGCGCACAGACCGGCGCGCTCTCTCCAGTGACGGACTCCAAGGGCTGCGCGAACAGAGCGTAGCGCAAGAGTCACAATCTGTGCCTCCATATCGGATACAACGGACCTGCAAAAATTTTAGTAAAGAGACAAAAGTCCTGGGAGGAAAGAGGGACAGACAGAAGGTCGAACTCACGGAGCTCTATACTCACACCAGAACGAGTGGTGGAAGAAGGAGGAGAAGAGACGCGCAGTTGCATATAGAGTTGATGGATTTGATTTGCGGGGGAGTTTATTTTTAGACCGGCTAAGCACATGCAAGGAATACAAAAGGCAAGTGGAATAAAAGCGTGTGAGAGGTGCTGAGTGTGACAGTGGATTTTCTTTGGTCAGGTCGTTTCCTCTCTGTGTGTGCGCACGCTGCTCCATGTGAAAAGTGTGTCGAAGCATGTTCCCGGCTGTGACTGCTGTAGCGACTACGGGATGAGCCTGGAGCCCACCGCTGTGCTGTGCTGGTTACCCTTAGGAACTAATAACACTGGTTAAGGCAGGCTCCGCACATGAGCTGACATTACAAAGGAGTCCAGGCATGCAAAGGAGCAGAAAACAAACAGGCTTTTGGACCACTTGTGAATTCAATTAATGCCGGTACGGACTGGTGACACGAAGATGACAGCCACTACTAAAGAGGCACAGCAGTGGCACAAGCGAGGACTTCTCTGTGCAGACCAATTCCTCTCCTGCGTCTCATTATTTTAATTACCAACTCCTCTTTCATTTCTCTTCACTCTGTGCTTAGCCCTCAGTATTTTGCATTCTGTCCTCCTCTCCTTGTGTCCCCTCCCTCTCCCTCTGCTCGGCTGCTCTCCGTGTCTCATCCGCTCTTGTTCACTGTCAAACTAACTGCGCTGGATGCTGGAGTCACTCATGTAGAAGCCACCTTGCTTGAAGCACATTTGCCTAGTTTTTCTGGGTTTTTCAGCTGTTTTGGATGAGTGGAGACTTAAAAAGTGGAGGATGCAGAGAAATAACTAACAAGTAGGTGCTGCATGGGTGCAAACGATGTTTTGCCATCTGGTAAAACTCTGAAGGACCATTGTTTGTTTGAAATCTCTCTCACAAAGTTGTGGTGAACTATTCAGTCACAGGTTGTTTCTTCTCAGTGTTGTAAGGCTAAAGACTTCCCCTGGTGTGGACGACAGAAGTGGATTTACCCTGGAGCTTCATGTGGGCCCCAGCCCCTGTGGCCTGGCTGGCAGATGAAGGCTTTGTGTTACCCGTGGTTTTAGGCGTGCTGTGGACTGCCATGGCCATGGAGGGGCGCTGTCTCCGTCGGGGTTCCCCGGCCATAATTCGGAGAGGCCGGCAGAGGCGTGCAAAGGCGTCTTTGAGCGTCCTCACCTCCACACTGCTGTCCCGCACACGGCTGCATGGCCTCAGACAGGTGTGTCTTCCTGGAGGCTCAATTGGACGGAGGGCGTTCTGGCTCATTGCTCTATGCACGTCCATAGGACTGCTGCTGTCCTGGTCATCTAACCGCCTTCTACACTGGCTCTCATTCCCAACCTACACTCGAGTACACACAGAGTGGGCCAAAGAACTGCCCTTTCCTGCAGTCACTATTTGCAACAACAACCCCATCCGCCTCTACAAACTCACCAAGAGTGACTTGTACTTTGCGGGCCACTGGCTGGGCCTGCTCCTGGCCAACAGGACTGTGAGACCACTGGTGCTGGACCTGCTGCAGGAGGACCGCCAGGCCTGGTTCAACAAACTGTCAGACTTCAGACTCTTTCTTCCTCCAAGAAACTTTGAGGGAACCAACCTGGAGTTTATGGACCGCCTGAGCCATCAGCTGGATGACATGCTCCTGTCGTGTAAATACAGAGGGGAGCCCTGCGGAGCTCACAACTTCTCATCAGTGAGTAACTGCTCTACTGTCTGACATAATCCAGAATGGAAGCTGTTATTGCATGTTTTAAGGCTCATTATGAAAAACATTGTAGTCTGAATAGAATGTTTTGAAAAATAAAAACCATGTAAAGAGAAGTGGATATCCGGTTATATCCGGTGTAATTTCTTGGTTGTATGGTTGTAATCGTATTTTCGCTGAAATTGGCTGGAACTGAAAGCATTCATTAAGTTCATTAAGTTGAGAATGTATGTGAAAGTCAGTTGAAGTGATCGTTAGAGGTGTGTTATGGACAGCTAGTGTTTCTCAGAAAGTACATTGACGTCTGTATTGCTTATGTGCTTCTTTTGTTTTCCTTTGCTTTCGTTCAATCTCAGATTATACTCGCATGGCCATTCCATAAACTCTGGTCAATTATAATTTCCCTACATGTACGTCTGGGTCTGATCCTAGTGGTTGATGTTACCTCGGTGATATCCCATCCAACCATTCAGTGAGCAGGGGAGTAGGTAAGTTTTGTGACGTTGAAAGTTTGCGCCAAATTTGTATGGCAATGGCGGTAAATGTTCGGCTAAAAAAATCAAGAAATTGATGCCGTAGTAAGAGGAATGTCTTGTAGATGTCGTTGCTTTACTCCCCACTGTACGATGGTATGATAAGATCGCGCTAGGTTATACAGCTTTTGCTTGATTTCTGATTACTGACCGTATTTTTCACAATTGTCATAATCATTATTTCTATCAGCAGTGATTCTGCTTGGCGCTATCCACTCTGGCTGAGTGGATAGCACTCATACTTCTCAGCAAGAAGGTCCTGGGTTCGAATCCCGGATGGAACATGGCCTTTCTGAGTGGAGTTTGCATGTTTTCCCCGTGTCTGCGTAGGTTTCCTCCGGGTGCTCTGTTTACCACTAAAAATATGCACAATATTTATGAATGTAAATGAGAGAGTGAATGGATGGTGTTGATTGGGGGCTTTGTCGGCCAGTGTGTTTGGTGTCTCGCTTCCGTCATCACTGTGCGTGGAATGATTGAAACAATATCTGAACTCTGAATATTGTAAAGCGCTTTGGGTGAACTTGGTCTGTCCAATGCGCTGTATAAATAAACATTACTTACTTACTTGCTTACTATTTGGCTCAACATTAAATATCTTAAAAAGGCCAGAGAAACATTCTGTAAATAAAGCATGCACAATAGCAGCCACAACAGTGAGGCTACGAAAGGTAATCTGCAATATAGTTACAGACCACTGTATATTATTTTATGCTTACTTACATATTAATGATGTCATAAAACAATGGATGGATGTATGTTTAAATATATTTTAATTTGAAAACTTCTCTACAAATAACTTAACAGAGAAAGACCTCGGACCAGAACACGTGTCACACCAGTTAATATTTCCATTATTCTTATATAATTCCTAAATGTTTTAATGAGATTTTGAGGGTTTGACGCAAACCCAACAAGAGTCTTTGCAGTTACTCCTATATAAAGAGTTGCTTGAAACGTTGTTGCTCTCTCCCTGTCTATTTCCTCATCATGTTTTCCTCAAAGGGGCCTCATACAGCTAACAGGCCCTGGGTGCTTCATCTAATCTCATTATCCTGCCGTGGCGAGTCAGCAACAGCTCCCGAAAGCCTATTCATTATCAGTGTGTTTAGAGCACTGTCAGTCCCGCATCAAAACAGTTGCAACTTGGAGATTTAACCAGGGACATAAGACACATGCGCTCTGCCTTTGCAGTAAAGATAAATCGGCAAAACTTAAAAGCGGTCTTACATGGTTTTGATATGCTTTGAATTCGTGTACATCAGGTGGCTTGCTGTATAGAGGAAAAGAGGGAAACAATAGCTCAAAGTTGAAAGCAAAAGCTGAAAATGATAGAGGCTGAAGCTGGCGGGAATACTGATGTGCACCATAACTCTGGAGGTTGCAGACGCGCACGTGTAGATGCTACTGTGTCACAGAGGAGGAACTACAAGACGCCTGAGACGATCAATAAATCTATTAGCTTCGTGCTCAGCTTTATGGGGGTCTACTTTGCTCCCTCATCACCAATACAGATGCAGTCCGACTCAGAGCCACTGCCAGACAGGGCTCCATTGGGCAAGATCATACTCACTGCTACAACTCGTAATAAAACACAAGTGTTTGACGGTGAAGCGATAATATGATTTTACAATTAAAGCTTTTACTGCTGCACTTGTTTGTCTGAATTTTTTTTTTACAAAACTATTCACTTATACCTTCCTGCAATCAAGCCACCATAGCAAAAGATGTAGAATCCAATCAATAAGACAAGTTTCAAAAGGAAGTGGATTTGAACCTGTATTGATATTGTAAAGCTTCACAATATGTATAAATTACTGTAAACATACTCTCAGAACGAAATGAAGAAGATATGTCAATCAGATTGATAAACATTGCATTCAATATAATACCCAATTTCTATATTGACAAAACAATGTACAATATGTTCTTGCATTACCAAAGGCCTATAGTCATTGCATAATACTCAACAGTTATATTGAACAAGAAGAAAATATCAAAGAGATTTTTCAGACAACACTTTCAAAAGTCTTTCAGTTTGTCATCGTTTCGTTTGGAGGGTTTCAAAGAAGAGATTAAAAGGACATAGTCATGCTTTTATTGATCCAACAATGTGGGGGGAGAAAAAACATTTGGTGTATTAGACAAATCGAACCAAGTTTTTTCACTGCTCCATTGGTTTGAGACATCTGCGCTCACACTGACAAATTAGGCCATGGTCGGACCTGGAGAGCAGCATCTAATCAAGCTTCAGGCACTAGATGAAAAAATGTGGCCATTCTTTCTCTGGCAACAGCAATGCATCAACCGTATCTCCAGAGAAATCTCCTAATGGCGCTAACCTGCACTTGACTTAGAGATCCGTGCACAAGAGGGTTACTACTGTGTGAGATTTACATTCATGCACATTCAAAGCGTGTCACCTCTCACTTTGATTGGATAGAGTAGACTGCAGGCTTCTCGAGTCAAGCAAGTGGTTGAGTTTCACTGAAAAGGTAAAACGTTGCATCTTTAATAGACAAAACGTGTAAAGTTTTTTTTTTTTGAATGGACATCGAGCAAGGATATTGATTTCCTGTTTTCTGTTGCAAATATTGGCCACAATCAAGTCTTATTAGAAAAAGACCAAGGTGAAATCAACTGCCGGAAACGTCAGTGTCACATGAAAACAGCACAGCAATCTCTCTGATAAAGGTTAATTGGTTAAAATGGCTTTTGTTTTCTAATAAGGGAGTTTGTGGCAACACATTCCAAGTGTATAATACATACATATAATATACCTTACATTTTCACAAACCAACCTCAAAGTCCTACAGTATAAAATACAATAAAATGTAAAAAATATATAAAATACATCAAACTAAGTACGTCAAATATGAAATAAAGATGGAGGGTTACTTAAATACATAATATAGTCACTTTGGACGTTATGTTATTTGTGTGTGCATGATTTGTATGCAATGAACAATGTACAATGGATTTGGTTGAGAAAATATCATGGACTTTTGTGTCTCTTTGAGATGGAGGAGATAATAAATCTGTCAGTCGCTCCCTCCAAAGGAGTAAACATGGTTGGTAGAGCAGTCGGATACTGACCTCAAGGGTTGCAGTGTGATCACCGCTTTCTCAGCTTTGAATGTGCGTGCCTGAAAGCTGTCATTGTGTGAATAGGTGACTCCTTGAAGTGCCGATATGCTCTGAGTGTCCTGTGAATTGGGCTGTATAGAATAATGCCTTTTCAACAGTTTAAATCTCTCAGTAAAGCAATAGTTTAGTGGTATTGATGGATATATGCTGTTTTGTTCCTAACCTCAGGCATTAATGTTAATAGTTTTAAAAATGGACGCCAAGATAATGTCTAAGGAAACTGTAATATTGCTTAAATGTTTGATTTATACTCCCAGGTTTGAGTGATTGTGTATTACGGTAAGTATTGGGACGTGATTGAGGACTGTACCAGAACACGTAGTGCCTATTCACTGCTGGTCAACAGGGCTTCTTCACCCTGCGGTGCGGTCAGGCCGTTGAAAGAGAATGAACAAAATCTGTCAATCACGCGTTGCGGAATCATGTCTTCAAGTCCCAAGTTTTGTGCTGATGTTACGAAAACTTCAACCTATCAAACTACAATGTGCAACATGCCAAACAACTATTCTGATCTCTACAAGAAATAGAAGACTTCTGCTGCTGGGAACCTCCAAACCTTGAAGAGAATGGATTGATTGACCCAGAGCCTTTGTATTCCTGCAAACAGCCTTCATAGTAAATGTTGCATCCTGCCACATGCTTCAGTTGTGTAGACTTTCAGGGTAATAGCCCAAGTCAGTCATTTGGTTTTCTATCGACCGCTTTCAGTCTGTGGCGCAGGGCCCACAATAGTGATTTGTTTTGCAGTAAAGTGTGAGGCGGGTGGAAGTTTCAGGCTTTGACCAGAGAAATCTCATTATTACACACGGCCTTGTGCTTGGCATGCTCCCATGTCTTAATCCAATTCCTCCATTTCAGAAAGAACTGCTTTACAAGGTTTAGGAAGCTAGCATCACAACCCCAACAGCGTGTTCAATGTGGGAGTATTTCAAGCAACGTTGACCTCGGAAAACAAAAACAAAAAAATTCTACCCAGTGGCAGTGTCAGTCTGCATTTAACTAAATAAAGTTCTAATTCCCAGTATTATTTTTGTTCTACAGCAAAAATATGACAAAATTCTCAATTTGAAACATTTGCCTTTTTGTTTAATAGTTTGTTTGTTGAATTGGATTCCATCCATTTTTCCAGTACAATAAAGAAACAAGAACATTATTTATTTTCAGAAGTTTTTACTCAAAAACATGAATTTTTTTTGGTGTCAGTTCTCTATACTATAACATCTACACTTATTGGTCTGGTTCACATTAACTGGACCAAGTCGTACTAGCTTGGGAATCCTTATTTGTTGATGTAAAACCATCAAATAAATGAACATGTATGTGTCCAATAGT